GTTTTTTCCCCCCAAGGTCTGCCAGCGCGCCTCAGACAACCATGCAGGGTTTCTAAGGATAGGGGGAAACATGAATTGCTCTCTAAATAGCGCCATGACATGTGCTAGAAAGAACCAAAGCTCTCTTACCAATGCCCTGGCGCACAACCTTGCCTGGCTGTGCGGCAATTGGATAGCCACCAATGTCACGAAAGTTGGCGATGCCCTCGACGGAAATGAAGGGTGGTGAGGGGATACCGGGGTCGGCCGAGGTAAACTCTGCAGAGGCCACCATTTTTGGATACGTGGAGTCGCTCGTGCTTTGAATAGTATATGGGAGTATATAACAAGATGCAGATCTCTGTGTCGTGGGTATATATAAATATAAGCTCTAAGTTTAGCTAGGTAGCCGTTGAAAAGCTCAAAGAAAAAAGAATGACCGCATGGCACGAGTATAAATACGGTGGCAACGGGGCGTGAGATTGGGTCCTCCTTCCCCCCCTCTCCCCAATTCAATTCCCGGAAGTGGGTTTCGGGGCCTTGGGCGGGCGAGCGACGGAGAAAGTCTGGGGGCCGCCCTGTAAAACCGATCGGTGCGCAACGTTTCGCAGACAGATTTAAAGGGACCTGACCTAGATCTGCGCCATCTCAGCTCGGCCCTATACAGTGTAGCGGTGGCCCCCTTCTTTGGCGTACAAAAAAAGGTGAATGAATCAATTGGACCCTTGTTTTGTAGAGTTGTAAAGTAAATGGGCAGAGTGTCAATGTCTGTCTGGGAGAGCCGCGGCTGCCGTCCATCGGAGTATACATCAGGGATATAGCCGAGTCCATGTCGATCCGATGCGGCAACAACCTGTATCAATTTTCCCATTCCTCCCTTTCTGTCCCATTGAATGCCGATACCCAAATGCAGGCCTGCTGAATCTACGGCGATCGATGGAGGCCGCAGCTGGTCAGGTAGATGTGTGTCACCTGACAACAATTAAAAAAAAAAAACACGCGTCACAATGTACAGGGCCGTATTCAAAGAGTAGTGCTGTGATAAAGTTGGGGGCTGTATTGATGTATCCATGGATATGTTTGGGTAGCACACGGGTGCTCTTTTTGCTGTGTCTATTGCAGTGCTTGCAGCCTCGATGCAGAATGAAATGCAGTCTACCTTGTAAATAAGGAGCCGTCTAATCACGTCTCTCGTTTGACATCAAGAGCGACATGATTGCGCAGTGGGTTGGGTCAACTCTGATTCGATGTGTTGTTGATTTGGGGCTGGGTCAATTCAACTCACACACACTCTCTCTCTCTCTTCCCCTTTGACCCCGCCCGCAGAGCAGCAGAGCCGCAAGTCATGGGGAGGGCGGCAGGAGCCACACACCCAACCAACAGACCCAATGCATACATAATAATATTTTGCATCCACAGTTTTGTTGTTCATGTACGTAGCCTGGTCGAGGAGGAAAGGAGGGGTGTGTATCTTTCCCTTCAGCTGGTGACCTGCTGCCCACAAGATTTGCAAGCCTCGCTGGTCTAAAATCCGTGCTGTTTTCTCTTTTCTCTTTTCCCCCCCTTCTTCTTTGGTCTCCCGTCCTTGATTACGTATTTTCCTTACTCGGACCTCAACCAACTTCTTGTAGTCATCATTGTGTTTTTCTTCTCTGCGGCTGGTTCATTCAGCAATTCGTTGGGGGCCGTCTACAATGTACCGTCACCCATGCAAAATTTGACCAGGCCACCGCTGTGCAGCTTGTGGACTTGCGCACAGCCAGCCCAGACCTCTTGATCAGAGGTCCATGTCTCTCTCTGCCTTTGCTCCCGAACCGTCCTTCCTTTTTTTTTTTTTTCTCCCCTTCCCCTTCCCTAGTCGACTTCACTTCTAACCTAAAACGGACACTGTAGCCTATCCTCTACAGAATACTAGACTGCCTCGAGGTTCTGGGCCGCTGACCTGCCTACGCTTCTTAATAAGCCTGGACGCCTTATCAGGTCGGTCGCCTTGTTTCTTTCCCGCCGTCCGGGGAGCTGCTGCAAAACATCACTGAACTCCAGACTCACTCTCTCACACTTTCTACAGATGGTGATGAGTGCGAGTGTGTTTCCTGTCTCTAACCCGGCAGACCCAGCCACAAGCTAGCCTTTCGAATTGGGGCTTTTCTGGTAGTTCCAGTTTCCATTTCTCTCTCTCTCTCTCTCGTGTTTTTCCGTTTTCGACGGTCCTCACTTGGTGCCTTGCCGCAATCTCACGATTCCTCTTTGATCTCATGGGCCGCGAGCCAAATGGAGTATCGAGGCGTGGGCCTGTGAGGCACCTTCAGGCTTTGACTCAAAGTCTCGTGCGTCGTTTTTGTCTCCTTCCTATTTGTTCTCTGAGGCTCATTTCATGTCATCCAATAGGCTGATTCCTTCAAGAGCAGCCAGTAGTCTGAGAGCCAGGCCCTCTCGTCACGGCAGTTCTCCCCCATCATCTCCCACTCGAACCGAGCCAGTGCCTACCTTTTGCCCATCTGTATTAACTCAATGCCTGTCCTCGAGTGCACCGTTCAGATCTTTCGGTCAGGGACAAGGTAAGGACGCGTGATGAGAGATGAAAATGAATGGGTATAAGAAATCTTGTCTATAAGAGTCGCCTCGCCCCATCTAGTCTAAACCTTAACCCGAAACCCGTTGTTGAAATCATGATGTCCCCGTCAATGTATTACACAGCCACATTACCCTGACATCCCTTCAGCTCTTGTCCAAAAAAAAGAAAAAAAATCCGGAGAAGACAGCGTCAGAATAAGCCCATCTGATTTCCTTGCCAGGGTAAATCCAGGCTTATGTAAGCACTGTGTTTGATGCTGAGACGTATTGTTAGTCATGGACCCCCCACGCAGAAGAGTACAAAGCCATACCCTACTTGTCACTCGAAACATCGCCACGTTCTTCTAGTTGTAGAAGGTTGCGGGAGCAGCCGGGCGAGGTTTAAAGCAAAGGGGGCAGGAACTATCATATTCCCACGAGTTGTTGGATCCGGGGCAGTTGGGCTTTCATCAAGGTCAGCATTGGTTCATTGTATCAAAGCAAAGTTGTGGCTTACACAAATCCAACGAAGGCCACTGCCACCACCCAATGCGGCCCTCTTCTTTGAAGATGAAGATCGTGAAGAGTATGCGCTGTCGTTGACGGACATTGCGTGTCTGTGTCCGTAGCCGTAGCTGCTGGAGCTGTGGGAGTAGGTGGCTGACTGGTGGTAGGAAGGCATTGTGAAAATATTGCAAATGTCTGGTGCTTTTTGCTAACTGCTGAGAGTTGGTGTGTTTAGGGAAGTATCGATGATATTGGATGAGTGATGAGCAATATCTTCAATCGTTCTCCAGAGCATCATGGGAGAGTCTTTATACAAAATACTCGACCCGTTGAGCCCCCGTTACTCGAAGATACAGAAGAGGAGGCCATTAAGGTAAAAGTGCCTTGGGAGTGGAATTTCCAATTCGGCTTCGCCGCGCTGAGGCAAAATCATCCGAAACCTTGAACTTGTGTCACTGGTCCCGTTTCTTTTTGGAACATATGACACCGAGAAGTGCTTTTTTTTCGAAGTTGTATGAGTCCAATGAAAGTATAGACAAGCTGGTTTCTATCCTTTCGTAGCCCCCATTCGTCACGGAATCCTCCAAGGGGCTCGGTGAGTTTCTTTTTGGCACCAGAGGGGCTCTAAAAACATCTTGAGAAAAAAGACGACCCAAGCTCGTTATAGCACCTCTGTTCTGTTTGGGGGCCTTGTTCAGTTGCACAATCCTCAAGCTACAGCAATCTTTTGCCAATCTCATCACAAACTCTGGGAGCCGACCGTTGCAGCAAGCATGGCGAGGTGACATTCTGGGACCTGCATCATTAATCCTAGTACCGAAGTGGTTGCCTCATGGTTCAAGGTAGGATTTCGTGTCCCGTGTCCGTGTGCCTGGAAACCTGGAAACAGTCATGATTCGGCCGGTACCGAGCAAGACTGGGCTTCAGACTGCGGTATACGACTGTAGCCGGCCAAATGCTGCCTTCCCGGAACAGCCTCATTTCCACGCCTGTGCTCTCTGTGGCCCAGTTGGACGTTGGTGCCTCGGGAGGCATTTTTTCTCCCCCGGCAGGGGGGCTTGAGGACCTATTGAGGCCTTGCAAAGCCTCTGAACAAAGCCCAGACGTTCTCTCATTCGACTGACTGTAAGATTGCTCCTACCAATCGAGTGTTGGAAAGACCCTCATTGCCTTTGATTGATCCACCAAAACCTTGACGACAAGCCAGCCTAGGGGTTGTATTGTATATCGATAGGTTGCTTCGTCACAACCTCTTTTTGTTTGATGATGACGTCGGGCATACCGAGTCCCTTGCTGCTGTTGTGCACTTTCCTTTTTGTCATCTTGTTTTGAAGCTACCTCTCTTTCGTACAACACGTCCGGGCCCGGGAATGCCCTCGTGGTCCTTTTCGGTTAAACCTTCTCGGTTCTTTTGCCAGTCGAGCGCGCTCTGGGTTGATTCAGTGATCGGTAGAGCAAGCATCTCATGGGTCGCCAGGATGTCTCTGACCGAGCAACGCTTATTTCGGTGACGAATTAAGCTCTGATAGTCCAAGGCGGCCATCGGCTGTGTCATAGGCTCCAGCTTTCGACTCCCTTTCACACATTCGCTCTCTCATCCATCCAACCCCGACAGAGTTGTTCGACATAGTTGTTTCCCTGCCCCTTTCTGGTCCAAGATACGATGTGGTAAAACAGTATGAGGCATACTTTTTATCTTTCTTTCTTTTCATTTGTGATTGCGAAGGGGTATTGTCAAAGTGGACAAATTACCTCATCCGAGGTTGCGCGTGGGCATGTGATGCTGACCCCTCTCTTTTTTTTTTTTCACTGCGATTATAGTGTAAAGCAGTTCCAACCCACCACCCAAGCCGGGAAAAAAGAAGAAGCGTTCCCGCCCCAGAACCTCAAGAAAGTGCATGAACTCCAGCCTTGAGGAAACCAGACATGATTAGATGGCGGGTCGTTGCAACGATTATATATCTGCGAGGGCTGTCGTTCATGAAGGTTCCGCGGCTGTCGTTGCATTTTCGCTTTCGCATCTTTGCGGCTGTTGGTCCACTTGGGGATCATGAGGCTCTGCGCCCCCAGGGGTTCGTCAGCTCCTTCATCCCAGAAAGTCCTTTGACGCGGAAGAAATAGGACGATACCCAATGAGGTTGCTGATTGCGCACGGCTGGGTGGAAAGACGTCCCGTTGTCAGAGCTGAAAATATATAGGCTTTCGAATCATGTTGGGAGATTGGCCATGTTGTCCACAGAGCCTCCTCCTCTGTTGCTCTTATCATCGACCAGATAATGACATGGGGAACGACCGGTGTCTTGGAATGGGGTCTACCCCTTTTCATTGGCGACTGGGCTCTCAAGTTTGACCTTTTTTTTGTCGTTGGCTGGGGGGGAGTCGAGAAGGAAGTCAGCCGCGGCGTGGACGAAAAAAAAAAATCCATCGTTGAAAATGATCCCCGATTGGGAGATATAATCGCCGTCGCTATAAGGAGGGGGAAAAAAAACAATGTGCCGCAAATTTATAGGAAGCTGACGCTCCCGCTCCCCTCCTTTACTCCAAATAGACCTTTTGAGAGAACGGGACAGCCGCGATTTGAGTTGACAAGTCCAAGACACTGAAGAAGACGAAGCCTCGAATGCTCGCCAAGACGATGGTGTTTGCCGTCTGAGGTTTCTCTGACTCGAGCATCCGGATGGGATGGAAGGATATGACAAGACCTGATGGTCAATGAGATGAAGAGGACACAATAAGATACCGGGATAGACGGGATGAGGAATAGAAGATAAGGTGTTTGGGGTATATGGTCGATGATGGGTATTATTATGGTGGCCAATACAACGCGTTGGTGAGGCGCAGCCTTGATAACAATAATGCCAGGCTATATAAAAACTCGCGAACCAGGCAGCACTTTCGAGTTTGCTGTTGGTGGCGATAAGGACAAAGTAAAGTACCATGCTACTTAAAAGTAAAGGCAATAATGTGGTAAAAAATGGAACTGTACTCACCAGCGCCGGCAAGGATCAAATGTTGCATGTCCATTTCAATAGCAAAGGTAAGACTTTTCCTTTCTCTCTCTATGCCACGTTGCGGTAATGAATCCGTTCGCCCTGCACTTTCATTTTGTCAGTGAGTATCAGTGAGCAACTTTGCCTGCTGCTCATGTGGTTCATGAATATCCATCGGTGAGCGCAACCCTGACCATTTTAGGAGGACCTCGTGGTCTATTATTTACCAGGAGATTGAGCACCTGGTGAAAGCCCCCCTCCACACACACACGTGCGTTGAGGTACAATTTTGCCCGATATAAGTGCAATATAATGCCCCCAAAAAAGCATCGCCTCAAATGAGGCTGGTTGTATACTTTACTCGTCTCCATGACATGGTCTCGCGAGAGCCTCATGTCAACACACAACTCAGATCGGGCAAGAGATATCCTTGGCACAAGGCGCAATAGCTAGGAAAGGATGGCGAGGTGCGAAACAAGTCAGTGCTAAAAAATCATGAAAACATGATAACATTCCTCGAGGAATTATTAAATGCTCGGAACAGAAATGTGAAAGGAAATCTTATCAATCGTGTTTTCTGACCAATGGGCCAATCATGATGATGCATATGCTGTGTAATGTCCCCGGAGACCAATAAACATATTGGGCAGCAAGAAAAGACGACACGAACAGGAGTTTACTCAGATGCCAGTCTCAAATTTGTAGGTATCGCTTCGCAAATGGCGTTTGCTCCTTAGGGTTGGGCCGAGATACCTGAATTTTGATCGCAGATGCGTCAGTCTCTTTAAGAGGGAAAATTGGCATTCCCCCTCTTCACAAGCTGGCCCAGAGACAGTTGTATGGTGTTTCAACAGTCAATTTTGATAAATATCATCACTGGCTGTGTATGATACTAAGGACATTGGAATGCCTTGCTGGTATCCTAAATTGACAGCGGTTAGATTCGGGCACCACTCAAGGGTCAGAAGGACGTCGAGAACCCAAAGACATGGCAGCTTCTCCAGTTTGATCTTAAGAGTACTAGCGTAGCAAATAACCTCGTTCGTGTATTGGCACATACCAATAGATGAGTCTCCTCGAGGGGGTGTGCATGAGCGATGGGTCAGAACCACGTTGCGCAGCGGCTTTATTCGTCAGATCAGGGGAATCGCGTTATCCAACAAAGTAATCGAGAATGTTGTAGGAGCTACCGAGCAATGATATGTGCTCTGTAGAAAAAAAAATAAGACATTGCCAAGCTGCATGCTGCACTTTGAGATGACTGCCGATGGACGAGTCCAGATAGCCTACCTAATAGGTAGTTATGCTACAGCATCGGTCGCGCAGCATTGGTCGCGACCAATGAGCTGGTCTCAACCTCGTAGTAGCTTTCAAGGATTCACTAGCTCGGATCCATGTCCATTTCAACATGGCTTTTCGTAGTCTTTCGATATTCGCTGTATTGATGTGAATACAAATAATAGCTTTCGTACGCGCCGACGGATCGGCGACTGAAACGCAATAGCATATGGTATGTGCTATCCGCCATGCCATTCCGTCATGACATGTTCAGTGGGTATACCTCAGTGGCTATGTCTGACCATGAGATCCCATCTTTTGTTATGGGCACTGAGCGATGCCGCCAATGCCTATGATGGCTGTCGTTTGTTAAATATGCATGGTGCTCTGCTATACTCATGCAATAAATCCCTTGATTCACTGATTTTTGTCCTTTCTGCCCCAGTTCCCATGGCTTCCTCTAAAAGCCCCCGGTATTGATTCGTCTCAATCTTCAGCTTGCATGATGCATGGCCTTTAATCCTCAGACACTTCGGCGAAGGGGTTCTGGATCTCCTCGCTGCCGTCCACTGGGCTGATGACGACAAGCAGCGTTCCTCGTGCGACGACAAGTCCCAGCGGTCTCGTGCTCTCGTTACCCTCGTCGTCTGTGAGATATACATGTCAGCACTGTTACTTCTGGATGCACTTGAGGGGATCGGCGCCTCTTTTCTCTCCCTGCCGCGTTCTGTTTACACGCACCAACCCGAACAATGAGAGAGCCAAAAGTAAAGAAGCCGGAATAAACAAATCCCCAAGGGGAAAAGAATCAATACGCACCTCTGACAACCTCCTGCACCTCGTCCAGGACCAGATTCATGAGCGCATCGTAGCCCTTGAGGGTACCGGTGCATTCGCGGCCGCCATTAAACTTGACTGTGATGCGCTTGTCCATGTACTTGCCGAGGTCGAGGATGTTTTCCTTCTTGGGGCGCTCGCCCTGCTTGTTGTCGTGGGAGTGAGAGTGATGACCGTCCTTGTCCCCGTGGTGATGGCCTCCGCCGCGTCCTCCGCGCCCGCCACGGCCTCCTCCCCGGTGGCCACGCTCTCCTCCTCCGCCTCCGCGGCCGCCGCGCTGGTGGGGTCTGTCGGCCATGATCTCTTCTTTTCTCTCTCTCGGGCGGGGTGAGGCAAAGTTCTTGTTCCGGGCTGAACGCGCGGGTTTCGTTCGTTATGTAATTGGGCTGCGCGCGATGTGGCGTTGGAGCACGTTTGTGGTGGTGATTCTGAATTGCGGCGGCGGGCTGTGGTTGAGTAGAGCTCGGGGGCGGAATTGATTGCGCGCTTGGGCTTTTCGAGCCGGATCGGATCAGTGCGGGCCGAGTGACAAGCAGGTAGGTACCTACCTAACCCAGTGGACCTAGCTATCCTTCAACCGCTAAAGGTAAGGCTCTGGCATATTTGAAGCGTTGTGGCAAATTGCCCATAAACCCCCATCCTGCCCATTACATGAATAATGCTGGCCAACAGGCATTGATAAAAGTTCTGGATACCTCAAGAAATTGCATCCTTTGCGTCGCGCAATAATTGATATCGTATGCGATATTCACGTCCCTTTTTTTTTTTCTCTCCCGAGGAATGTAAGTTAGTTGAAAGAACTTGAATTGAGTTTTGCTTGGCCCCCACCACTATAATGCACAGAGCTGCCCGCCTATAGCTAACGCAGCTCTCAATGGCAGTAGCAGTTTGGCGGGGTAACTTTGGCATATTTAGTATAACGCGCCTCTATACGGTCGAGGCATTAGCTCAGTGATGCACGTAAATTGAGGCAGGTACGGCGGGAGTCAATATCCTCCGCATGTATCAATAGATTGGGTTAAAATTGATTTGATATTATTGAAGTTATTTTCATGAACACTTTTCCCGTCATATTTACGTGTGGTTTGGAAATTGTTGCCGCCACGACATGAACTAATCACAAATAAAGTTTCCGCCCGCTGGCCACGACACAGCATGAAATTGTTTTGGGGGGTTTTTCTTTTTCTTTATTTCCTTCCCTTCAACTCCTCGATAAACTTGGATGCTTCATTTGCTTTTTCCTGACCGTCCGCCGCCGCGCGTCCGCTCCCACATAATATTCCCCCCTTGCCTGACAAGAACTGCATTTGCCCCCCCACCTGACATTCAAGAGCCCTTTTCTTTCCAAAACGGAAACATGGTAGGAGAGGGGTTCCTTAGTCGGTGGGTATAGAGATCGTCACCAAGCCTCTCCTAATGAAGCTTGAACTCTCTTGGAGCCGCAGTGGTTGTAGAGTCGCAGACGTTCTAGAATGTAGGTCGCGTTCTTTATCTTGGTCTTGGCAGACGGAAGACATGGGGGACGGCCCCGTGGAGTCCGGGACTGGCTCACGGCAGTCGCTAGATATGAAGGCGAAAAAGAATTGATTGGCAAGGCAAAGTATATGGTGCTGAACGCAGGCATCCATGGCAGTGGTGGCTGGCTGGCGGCTACCTTAGGTAAGTAGGTACTGTGTAGCAGGGCAGGAGGGGAAGGCAGCGAGTGACTGATGACTCCAGGTACGAACATGACTGATCAGACCTGACTTTTGATCAGACCCTGACCCGCATAGGCAAGTCAAGGCGGTGGTACTATACTACCTTTGAATGGCAGCCTCTCAAGCCTCTTCGCAGCATGTGGCCTATCTGTAAGATCTGCAGGCAAGGATCCGCATGGCACCACCTACACTAGCAGCCATCTGCATGTGTTAGCAATGGCGATTATTGTTTGATCCTGTTCCTTTGCCGCACGCAATTACTGATCCTCACAGCCTGGGCTTTTTTTTTTTTGTTATTATTTCCGTTGAGCAAATCCGAGAGGCTGCAGATGGCAGTCAATTAGGTTAAATTATGAGTAACCGTCAAGGTGATACTATGTACGTAGGTAGGTGTCAGGGTGTCTAGCCTTGTCCAAGCAATTGATGCGACTTTTTGACACCCCCGACGCACAAAAAGCACTTTTCTAGTGTGCTAGTGTAGATTGATACATAAGAATTAGCTATGGTATGTAGTCAGAACGTGCCACCGGGACAGTCTTCAACGGAGCCAACTCCGTATGCAACCTGCTGCTGCTGCCGCCGCCGCCAAGATACAAAAAGGTGAATATGCGAAGGTGTTGTTGATTGCTGGATGATTAGACACGTCATTGGCTGTCGACCACATGAGGGACATCTCCATCGGCCTGCCCTCGTGCGCAGTGCCTCTTTGAAAAGAACACGCCGCCCAATCAAAATTATCTAGGATCCCATGAATTGAATGCTTGAGGCCCGGAGTATCTGTTTAAGGTGAGCGACGGGACCCGGTTAGTCGGAAGCGCAGAGCCAACAGTGGGCAGTTTGGTGCAGCATTTCAGCCATTCCGTCTGGAGCTTCTCCTCGGGGTAGATAATGCAACCTAAGATAGCAGTACCTTGTAAGCCATGCGGGGGTCCAGGGACCGGGCATTCGTTTCTTTTCCACATTACAGGGCCTCCGTAGTGTAATGAAAAGTCGGGTGTAGTGTGCATATGGATGTAGGTAGGTATGTATGTTACGGTAGTGCAGTCAAGTGCACGCTATACTCATCCATGTACGAGCTATGTACCTTTCATCATACCTTCCAAGCTTCAACAATGAGCCCCATACTGGCCGCCCCCGCCAGCCGAAAATGGGAAGAAGAAAAAAAACTGAGAAAGGTTTGTCATCTGGGAGCATCACTGAGCTTTGAACATTTGACTCGATGAATTATGTCCAGCTCCATTCGAGTGGACCGAACAGCATTGATTGCATCCTGCCATGTCACGGACTCGGCTGTCGGTGCTTTATAATCGTTCGTTCCCGTGGAAGGAAGGGGTGGAAAAAAAAAAAAAAAAAAAAAAGACTTCCCTTGTTGTCTTCGCCCTTGGCCCTTGACTTTTTTCAATGCTGGGGTCATGCAACGCGGTGCCGATCATGGAGACCCGAGCAGCCACCACGCCAGGGACTAACTGTGCACTGCGCGCTACCACTACTACCTTGAACACCTTACTGCACTAGCTAGGCACGGGTTACGGATACCTGTCGATACGCAACTCCTCTTTGTCAGGCCCTTCAATTAAGAAGTTTCTCAACGCCAAGGGTGGTAGAGATGCCGATCTTTCCTTAGCTGATCCATCGTTCAAAAAGAGATGCCACTCCTGACAGAAGCAAATGGACTGATTGCGGCGACTTTGATAGGAACTAGTAGTTGCGACTGACTGGCACGCTGGGGGTTGGTTCACTTTCACTTGCTGAAGAGAGAGGGAGAGACAGACATGGGGCTACCTACATAGAAAGAACGATATCAAAGCAATCATCACCTGTTCTACATAGTAGTGGACTGACTGTTTCCTGCTACACAATACAGCCAGCCAGCCTTTTGTCCTGTACCCAATGTTTGCCTGCCTCCTGAATTCCTGACCGACTGATTGGATGGACGACTGATTGACAGACTGCCATGCTGAACAATTGACCAGGGAAGTGTTTGGTCGCAGCAGGGGCACCCGTCAACCGACATACCGCATGGATGCCATTCATTACTACTACATTACCTACATTATTACTGCTACTACTGCCTACCAGTACCTACGGCGTACCTAACTTCAATACATTTGATACATACCTTACCTACAACACAACATCACACACTGGCTTGCACCTCATTTGCAGCCAATCCCGTCTGTTCCTCTGCATCGGATTGCCGCCATGGCTCGTGCTCGTGCTCTACTACTATGTTTGTACAGTTCATCAAAAGAGAAGAAGGGGGAGAGAAAAAATATATTCCTCTGCCTGTGTGTCTCTAACCGACGTGACATATACCGACTACTTACCTACCAACCCACCTGCCTACATACATTACCTATGTACCAAACTGGCTACATACTTGCCCTGTATTGTAGCCACCAGCCATACAAATTCTACTGGCATGCCATCGATCGTCTATCCCGCCTGCTCGCGATAATCCCTTCTAGCTCGGATCCGTCCATCAGTCGACGGCTTTCAATTGTAGGTGCCACTCTTTTTCCATCCAGGGTGATCAGCCAAAGCCTGGACTCTCTTGACATTTTTATTCCCAGACCCCGCCACTTCGACCGTTGGTTTTAGTGAACAGGGGTACCGGGATTTTGATACTCGAGCTTCGACTCAGTTTGTTATTTCTTGGTGAAAGATTTCTCTCTTTTTTTCTTCTGGCTCTATATCCAGTCTGCACCGCCTCTTTTCTTGTCTCGCTCCCATGGAGTTGTTCGACCTCTGTTGATTCCATCCCTCCCCTCTTATCGCCCCATCCTGGGGCCTCTATCCATTGATCTCTGTCCCTCTCCCCACGCACACACACACACACACACACACACACACACACACATATGTCCCGCCGGTCTTTTATTTGTGGACATTCGCAACGGGTGTAAGGCGGGAAGCACCCATCAGCGTCGAGGTTGCGACTCTTTGCTGAACCTAGTCGCCAGGTCCTCTCACAAGCCTCTTCCTTTTTTTTAATTAATTTTTTTTTCAACACACATTTCTTTCGACGCTACGACGCGGCTACATCCTCTAGTTACCCGTAGCTGGTTAGTTAGGTACCTACCTTCTTTACTTTTGTTCTACTCTATTCGGTACCTATCCCTAGTTGTACCTACCTACCTTACCTACATTACATTACCCACATGCATCATCTATCGTACTATATATGTTCCTTGGGCCTTCTTTTGTACCGACCAAACTAAAAAAGGAGGAGCTGGTTTTCGTCCCATTTCTTAGCCTGACGCCCGCCAGCGTCGCCGCCGCCGCCGCCGCCAAAACCGCCAAAACCGCGCGCTTCTTTTCGGCTTGCACAGAACCAGAACGGAAGGAAGGAACTAACTAACTACCTTGTAGTTTCCCCAGAGACTAAAAAGACTGGCTGGCACTGGGGACTCCTCAAGTCTTTCTCGGCAACGTTGCCTTGGTCGCACACAAACTCGTTGCGCACAATTCTTTCTCTCTCTGCCTTAGTACTTACTCATTGGCACCATTTTTCTTGGTTTTCTTTTATTCTTTTTTTTCTCCCGCCAATTCAACCCAGAGTCTGGCGCATTTTATTTTCGACTGCTAGGAGGCAATTTTTTTTTGCGCAGAGTCTTTCCAATCCCGTCCCAGTTCATCCTCGTCTCTTTTTTCTTTTCTCCCAACCCGTTTGTGATCGGTCAATCTCCCAACCTAGAGGCGAGAGTTCATCTGGCGCAACCCCCCCGTATGTCAGTTCGTCCGAGTGCTTCGGGATTGCGACTGGGCCGGATTGTTGGGACACCTCGCGGGGGCCGCCGCTTGCGCCGGAGGTTCGGCAAGCCTAGAGGTGGCGAAACATCGTCAAACTGCACTTCATAACACACAACAGAGGCATAATTCATGGGGGGTGTCTTTACTTGACACTTGGGTACTTGAGGGGAATTGCGCTTGCTACCTACAAGTTACAAAAGAAAAGAAACATTCTTCTACATCATGGCGCATATTTCCGATTCAGAACATCACAAGCGGAAACGACATGAAGACGACAATGGCGGCAAGCCTCACACCGAGCGTATCCCTCAGCCCCCGCCGCCACAATCAGGTATGTTGACGCCTTCCTAGCTCCCACCAGCTGGTATCTTTCCATCAAGCGCTCCTCTCCTATAAACTGCTCGGGCAAGCTCGGGTTTGTTCGCATTATGTTTTGCGACCCAGACAGAAGTATCTTGTTTGTCTCTTCTTGTCAATAGTGACTAGAAATTTTGCCCGAGCCTGTTTATACCCAAACCCTGAAATCTTGTGCCGGCCTTGGCAGGTACTGCATCCGGATGTCGCTTCGCATACTCCGTAGCTGCTGGCTCTCGTCGCTTCTTTAGTCTTGATACGTGGAGCAGTGTGTTGTTCGCTGACAGCAGGCATAGGCAATCAGGCACCAATCAACTATCTTGCCAGGGTCAACGCCGGAAAGCTCAAGCTCATACAAGGCGACACGGAGACATTCACTGATGTGCTCACCCTCATCAATGAATATGAAGGTAATGCAACATGACCATGCCCACGTCAGGGTTACACGCCCGCTAATCATTATAAAATACATTCAGGCGTCTTGAGCCGCCATGAAAGCTTCGCCTCAAACCTAGGCGCGAAGCTCATGGGGCCGCGCTTGCTCAAAGCTATGGAGGGAATCTTCGATGGCCCCATCGTGACTATTCCCACGCAGACCTCAATCAGTCTGGATCCCATCACCTGGGTCGATATTGTGGAGTTTTCGAAAGCAAGACCGGCAGAATTCAACCTTACAACGAACCCCAACGGGAGTCGATGCTGTCAATTTTTTTTAAAGGGCGTGCAGGTGGAGATCTCTGAAGATGATTGGCGAGTCATCGTCTCCGGAACACTGGACAGAAATCGTCTGATTCCGCCGCAGCCACTTGAGGAGGACGAAACGGCAGAGTTCGCAACACTTGAAATCTTGGAACAACGCTTGAAAGTATTGATCAAGAAGGCCGATGAGGTGGCGGGCAAGGCACGGCAACTCAACTACCACCTCAGCGGGCGTAAAGCTGCCATCGGCAGTCGCAGGTCGACGCAGCATGGCACAGGATCCACATCATCTGGTTTTCAGGCAGTTAACCAAGCTGGGCCCCCCTCTGGCCCCAATCACCACGGCTACGACTTGCATGCGGATCTACTCCAGCAGTTCGTCACACACAATCCATCGAACCGCCTGCCATCTGTCGGCTCCGTCCCACCTACTCCGGGGACCATCGCCACTGCCACGTCCACACCCAGGACTTCGATCCAACAGCAAGTCTTGACTTCCGTGAGTAACCGCCCGTCGCCCGGCGCTTATCCCTCAGAGATTGGTCCCAAAGACCCGGACGACGAACAACGAGCCCTCGTCACGGCTAGGGTCGACAAGCTGGCACGAGGAGACGAAATTGTACCTCCATGCGACAGGTGCCGGAGGCTCAAGACGCCCTGCATAAAACATCTCACAGCCTGCCAAGGGTGTACCAAAAAACATGCTAGGTGCAGCTGGAAAGCACTTACTGACGAGGAGGTCGCATGGTTGAGACACGAGTCAGGGGACGGCAGCGGAGTTGGCGGTGGCGCTGGAGAAGATACCGGGGATGAGCACCGGGAGCGCAGATATGGCAGCCAGTCGGCGCCCAGCTCGCAGCAGGACCCGAACGAGCCCAGGCGTCTCTCAGACCGAAGCGACGACCCTGGCCCCAGCAGATCCGTGTCGCGAATCGCCATAGGCCGAAGTGCTGATGACATATGGAGGATGGGCACGAGCTCGAGCAGCCGGCGGGACTCAATGGACGTTGATGTTGACCCCAGGGATACGCACGGCCTACGCCCGACTGGTCGTGTCGAGTTGCACGCGACAGCCCGGGAGCTGCATGGCCACGGGCCCTCTGGTACGACGCCCTCGGGTCGCGAGAGCAGCATCACATCTCCGCGTGGCGGGGGAAGGAGTGGGCCCTAGTCGGACTCTACAGAGCCCTCGCAACTAGAGGTTGAACCATTTCTCGATAGTCTTTATCGTGCAGGAGAGAGCCCCGAAGTCTCAGAGCTGCTTCAAGATGAAGAGGAACTTCGGGACTTGCCTCAGGCTCACGTGAATGAGAGTTTAGACACAGAGGAACGCCCAGCAATGGAAGAGTGTTGAGGAGTATCAGTCATTTGTCGAAAATCATCGTGAAGCCTAGGAGATGCTTCAATGGTTATGCTTGACTTTTCATAACTGACCTGGCTATTACCGACCCTTGGTCTCAACCGCACTCACTGCGCTCAGTCAAGCCGAGCTCCCAAGCAAAATGCAAGTCGACCACACAACAAATAAAGAGAGATAGGATATGGTCACCCTTGGGCAAGTGAGATGAATTATTCCGTTCTGACCAGGCGACGATGGCAACTCACTGCGGGGCCAACAACAGCATTTTATAATTCTTTATTTATCTTTTTCCTGTTCTTTCTCTCTTTTGAGCGAGTATAGCTCTTATTTTATTACTCTTAGAGAAGAGTGTTGGCAGTCCATTTGGAAGGGAGAGGGAGACACCAAACAGAGACAAGGGACCACGAGACATAGTTTGATACCCATATAAATATTTTTGAGACCCTTTCTTCTGGCTGGGATCAGCAGCTTTGCCAGGGAATCGGACCCGTTTCTACAATGCAGACTCAATTCGATTCATTCAATTCTGAGAACTAAACACCTTTGAACAGTCTCTGGTCATATGACAACCATCGCCTGATGACCTCGGCTCAAATTTGGGGGTTATGATCATGGGCAACTTAACCAGACATCATATTTTGGAGTGAACTGCTAAAAAATGATATTTCTTCTGCCTTATACTATTGACTCGTTTGTCCTATGTGAATCCAAAAAAGTGATATACGGGTTATCTCAAGATTCTCTCGTTGATCTTGATTGGTTTTGGACCGAGTCTCCAAGTCTTCCTACACCGGTCATGGTTTCTAATGAAGACCTGAGATGTCTTCAATCTTATAGCACACGCGTTCAGTACCCTCGCGAGAACCATGTTCGCCCTTGGTTCACGCCATGCTGACAGCTAATTTGGTGCTCCCTCCCCTAGAACACGCCGCGGGGCGCTGCAGTTTTCGGCTGGCCAGCTTTCTGGAGTTCCTGGAAGGCGTTGGTTACCTGTTTCTTCAGCTCTTTGTAGGTGACCACAAAAGACGTTTGATGATCACGGCTTGTCATGAAAACCTTCTCGTCGATCCCAGCATCCAGTTTGTTCAAGCACGAAAGCATGTGACCCAAGTTCAGAACAGGGTTATTATTGGCATCAACCTGGTGAAAGACGTAGTCGCGGAATAACTTCAAGGTATAGCGCTCGCCATTCTCAGCCCAGTTTGGATCGTTATCGAACTCGGGCCTCTCATTAATCGTGCCAAGCTTCATCAGCAGTCGGGCAATTCTGCCATTCTCAAGCTCCTTGTGAATCTCGGATGTGATCTCGTCGTAAGCGTGGAGAGAGGCATCAAAAGAGTCAAAGAGGTGGTGGGCGATTGATTGTAGTAAGAAGCCAATGTGTTTCTGCTCTGGTGCTTCGGCGCTTGGAGGTGAGATCAGCCAAAAGACGAGCTCCTTGAGCTCCGCAGAATAATTGGTCTGCTGGAAAGATTGCCAGGAGGCTTGAACATTGTGGATTTGGTTTTGGTTAAGGCAGAGGCTTAAGATGAGCTTGCCCAGATCTACCAGATCCTCATGCTGGAGCTCTGCCAAGGGACGGGGATTGTCGTATTCCAGAACGTCCAGAATCATGCAGGCACTCAGCCGGATGCGATTCTTCTCGGTCAGGATGATCTTGGTTGGGTGAATGCAGCGTGCTGCCAGCTCGCCATTGTGAATTGTCTTGAGCGCATTGCAAATCTGGGATATATAGCTCCAGAGCGAGCTTTCTGCAATGGAGGGCTTGAAACGACCACCCGTGAAATGCTGTTCGGCCAAAGTCTTGGAGCAAGGGTGGTAGTTGTGAATGAAGATGAGGGACGTGTCGCCAAAATCTCTCGAGGTGAACACCTCGACTGGCGTCACGATGCCACCACTGCTGATGCGTTTCCACTTGCTAAGTGGAGTATTTGTTGACTCCTTGCCACTCACTCGGGCACCTTGAAGCCTACGTAGACAGTAGACATGCCCATTCTTTTTGGAAGTAGCCTTGTATACCCAGCATACAACATTACCAAAGAGGCTGGATTGGCCGCTCTTGGGCCCTTCCAGCGGGACAAGAGAATGGTATGGCTGGACTTCAGGTAGCTGAGAACTCTGCATTACCTGCCGGGTTGCTGCAGACTTCTTTTGAAGATCCTCTCTGAATTCGTTGGAGATGAAGAAATCATGAGCTTGGCGCTGGTAGGCCGCCAAATCTGATCTGGCAGGGCCGACGGGTGCGTAGAGATGGTATTGCAATGGTTGAACAGGCGCAGTATACAAACCCGGATTCGGATAGTACGACGCACCGGCCGCAGCCGCCAAAGGGTTGTGATCTTCGGCATATGGATTGAATTGGGTAGAGAGCGCCTGGTTCATGCCGACCATAGAAAATGCTTCATACAGGCCAGTATTGGAGTCGGCGTTTATGCCATTGGACGTGGAACTCGTGTTGAGGTCGTAGTTTTGCGTCTGCGGTGTAAATTCCCGCACGGCCGCTGGATTCATAAAGCCTGTGTCGCCATCCTGATGCATGGCCTGGGCAGTAGCTGATGTATGGGGTAAGCGATCGATGGAGCTCAAAGGAGCGGCGTATTGCAACTTACTATTTGCGGCCCCTTTCGGAGTGAAGGGTGTCGCATTGGCAGTCTGGGAAGAAAAGGTGGATTTCTTGGTGCCTCCCAGCAGCTGGGCAGGAGTGAAAGAGGGCGAGTCGACATTGAGTTGCTTTTTGGCACTGTCAAACAGGTTAGCAAATGGACAAGTCTCGTCACATCTCGCATGTTGTGGTTTGAATGCTGTAGGTGCTCGACGTAAACGAGAGATTTCGGCTTCGCTTGTGGAAGGCTGGTTGAAGCTCGCTGGAGTGGACAATGCAGATGATGATGATGATGATGATGATGCAAGAGGCACGGGTGTGGCTTCAAATGCTGCATTTCCGAAATTGAAACGGGCCAACCTTGCTTCTGCCATGGCTGGAGGGCTCTGTGGGACTCTCGGTGCCTCTACAATGAAACCGCCCGTATCAATCTCGAGGTTCACTGGACTCAGCATGGCCTTGCCCTTGCCTTTGTTCAATTGCTGGCGTTTAGGCAGTGCAGCAATCTGCGCAGAAGTAGATAGAGACGGAAAGTCTTCGTAGCTCTCCGTATTAAAATGGTCCGGGGATGTGTCATCCCTGGTAAGCTCGAGGCTGTGATTTGCTTCAACAGCCGAAGTGCTAGCGGGAAGTTCTTGAGACGATGATTGATCATGGGAATCACCATCATCAGTATCATCATCGACAAGCTGGCGCCGAAGCGCTGTCGCCGTAGGAAGCAGACCAGGCGTTTTTCGGGAATCCATGATGGAGTCGAAGAGCCAACGACGTGATCGATTGTGTGTATGATCGTGTCTCAACGCCAGTACACCTGATCTTGGAAGAATCGTCTTCGACGAAAGCTAGGCATCCGGTAGAGACAAGGGCATTTCTGGTGTTGCCCAGGGGGTTTCATGGGAATTTGCAGCCTGTCTCCAGATACGGCGCGGACGTGGTGTGATGCGTTCGTGATTTGACCCCCCCAAAAAGAGGCAGGGTTTTGGGCGAAGTTGTGTTGGGTGGGGGGGTTTTTTTCTTTTCTTCTTCTTCCTTTTTGATTTTCTTTGGAATAATCACCCAATCCAATACAAGCAAGCAGTTTGCTCAATTGATCCATCAAACTTTCCAGAGGTGAAAGCAACTGCGCAGCCTCCACAAAGCGCCTTCCACCTTGACATGGCCTTTTCCATGGTTCGTCCGGACAATCGGAGCAGCCATCCCACGATTTCTTTCTCATACAAAGCCCACGGCACTGGCACTGGCACGGCGAGAGAAGAGCAGAGTACACCAGAGTGAGCCATGCAGCCAGGTGTAATGTATTTACCCACAAACTGATTGAGACACAACCTAATGAAATCACTTGGCACTTACGAATCTATAGAATTGGACGATCCCTTATTCTGGTCGTGGTTAAAGGCACAGCCCTGGTCCTCGTAGCGGCAATGCCCGTATATAAGCACATTCCGGCACAATGTGTCCTTGGTGTCTGCAATGTTGTGTAAGCATGCCGTTGCAAAGTTCTCGGGGGGGAGCAGCGGCGTCATCATTATATGCCTTCCTACAATTCTGCAAAGCCGCCCAGTCTGCTCGTGTCGCATGTGCGTGGGTATTATTTTGCTGCTCACCTCGCGTCTTGGGCCGCGGGGAAGCCATCTGCCTCCCTCGGTCGCCTTGCGTAAACCGGGAGGTCGCCATTGCTTCTTTCGACGAGATTCCGGAGATCCTGGGGCTGGCATTCAGTCGTCGCCGTCGCGGGCCGTGACGTAGCGCGTCAGAGGGGCGGCCGGTTGGTTAGGGCTGTGAGCAGCGGCGCGTCGACGCTGTTGCTGCTGTAACTGCTGCTCCTGTTGAATCTGCAACCCCTACATAAAGGAATGGCGCGAATCAGCAATCTGCGACGTGGGAATGAAGAGGAATTGACGAGACAACAGGCGACCGACGCCCCCCAGCCGAGCCAGCCACGACACGAAAAATTGCACCAGTGAAAAAGGGCGTGGTCGTGAGCGTCCTGTTGCCAGTGCGCGTTGGCGAGGGCGAAATGGGCGAGTATATGCTCTGCACCAAGGGGTTTCCTTTGGGCCACGCACGCGTGGTGGATGACAAAGAACTTCCGTGCGAGCAACAAGTGGAAGCAAGTCTATTGATTCCAGCATACCCTAATAAATCAACGCGATGAACACCTACTCGTCGGCCTATTCTGCTCCCATCTTAACGCTATCAGAATGGCGCCTCGGACGAGCCTTCAAAATGCACCTCGTGCGCTGGGTGCGAGGCGGATAGCAGGACGCGCGCGGGACAGAAGAAATACAATGTCGGCAGAATCAACGGGTGAGGTTGGCGATAAGGTGCAGACGGATAGGATAATGCAGTAAAGGTGGGATGTGCCCAGTGAAGCGGCGCCCCGATACTTTCAGCACGTTAGGTACGGCGCCAAGCCTTGGGTCTTACGCAGTCAGCCTCCCGTGCACGCAAGTACCTACATTACCTACGCATGTATCTTTGCATATTATCTCTATACTGTGCAACTACGCATAGGTACTCACAGTACTGACTAGCAGTCTCAATTCTGACTCCTCATCACCTAATCCCAGACTCAGTAGTCCTGTGTATAAGTAGGCATTGTGACCCTGCGGCCTAGAAAACAGATCCAAGCCGCTAAGCCACTTGGGGCACTATACTATTAGTCAGTCACTGAGCCTCATGCCTTGTGCCCCGGGAGACGCGTTCTGGTCGTCCAAGAGCCAGATCAGGTATTTAGAAAACAACTAGCTAAAGTGAAAAGGTTCTCCTTGAAAGAAATTCCATATAGCGTTAATCGAATGTGTTTATACTCGATTCTGTATGCATACCAAACTCATTGCATAGCCAAAAAAAAAAAAGAAAGAAAGAAAAGTATATGGACGACTAGTTCCCGCCGTCCAGGCTGAAGGTACCGTAGATCTCCTAGCACAGCAGAATAAAACACCGAGACTAGTCCATTTCAAGAACTCATCTTCGTCATTAATGCCACGCAGCTTCCCCAGAATCCCTGAATGTCCCGCTGATGCGATTCCCATCTTCTGCCCAGCATCGCCTTTCTGATTGCTGTTCACGTTCATCTTTCTTTGTATAATTTTTGCTCACTTGTTTTTGGGTTAGTTGTTCATCAGGGTCCACAAGTCAGTGCCTGTTTAAAGTCTGAATCGCGCATCTTAGGTGCAGGATCCCCCCCCAATTCCAAAGTCCAAGCATCCGGTTCTACCTTGCAACTCCCCAGGCACCGAGGCCTGAGCTATTAGGCAGTTTCGTCCACGCATATTTCATGGCTTTCTGCAAACCAGAGTGCACAATTATTGGATGACTGCGCGAAATTTACCATGTCAGACGACGCCGGTATCGACATAAGCCAGCTCTCAGCTGAGCAACAAGAAGCCCTTGAGCAATACACGGCGGTGACGGCGCAAGAAGTCAAAGATGCCGTGCCACTACTCCAGAGGTCGCAATGGAACGTACAAGTAAGATACCAGCCGCGAGACTCCGTCGGATCCCGCCAGAGACTGACCAAAACCTCAGATAGCCATTGCCAAGTTCTTTGACGGTGAAGGTCCTGATCCATTAGCCGAGGCCATCGCCGCCCAGGACTCGATACCACCACCCGTCGCAGCACGGCATGAGAACCTGCAGGAGTCCTTTCTGGCTGATGCCTCACCTTTTGGACTACCAGCGTCCCGACGAAACCGACCGAACCCGGCTCCCCGAGTTGTACCCCCACCGGTAACGACACATAACCCGCCGCTGCTGCTCGCGATCGTCTTTGGTCCCTTCCACCTGGGCTACCGTGCTCTCTCAACTTTGTTCCGCACCTTCGTCTACATTCTTTCTTTTCTTCCCGCGCCGATTCGTCCGCGTGCCATCACCACGAGCGTGACATCAGGCTGGAAGGGCACGGCTGGGCGGCGTATGCTGCTGCCGCGGGATACTGCGGCGCGGTTCAGACGTGAATTCGAGGAAGAATATGGGCCCGAGACGGGTCTGCCGTTTATCGAGTCCGGTTTTGCACAGGCGCTCGACACCGCCAAGCGCGACCTCAAATTTTTACTTATTGTGCTCATGTCGCCCGAGCATGACGACACTGAATCCTTTACGCGCGAGACTCTGCTCGCGCCCGATGTGCGCAGCTTCCTCGCCGATCCAGCCAACGACATACTACTATGGGGTGGCAACGTGCTCGACTCGGAAGCATATCAGGTGGCCCAGGAGTATAATGCGACCAAGTTCCCTTTCTCATGCCTCATTTGCCTCACCCCCAAAGAGGGCAGCACCCGCATGAGCATCGTCAAGCGCCTTGTCGGACCTGTCTCGAGCTCTACATATCTGGCCGAGATTCAGTCGGCTATCAACAAGTATTCGCCAGATCTGGCGGCTGCGCGTGCCGAGCGCACTGCCAATGAGGCCGCACGCAATGTCCGCGCCGAGCAGGACAGTGCATATGAGCGTAGCTTAGCCGTGGACCGTGAGAGGGCGCGCCAGAAGAAGGAAGCCGAGGCCGCAGCGAGGGATGCTGAAAAGCGGGCTCTCGAAGAAGCGGCGGCAGCGGAGCGAAGAGCTCAGCAAAAAGAGCAGTGGCGGAGATGGCGCGTTACCAAGATCGTTCCTGAACCAGACGCCAGCGTCAAGGAGGTGGTGCGTCTGGCCCTCAAGATGCCCGAGGACTCGGGGGTCGGCCGCATCGTACGGCGATTCGCAGCTTCTACGACAGTCGAGGAATTGTATGCATTCGTGGAGTGTTACGATCTGCTTTCTAGTTCAGAAGAGATTGACGAGGACCGAGAGGAGCCAGAGGGCTACAAGCATGAATACGCCTTCAGGATCGCTGGGCTCATGCCAAGGATTGTATATGAACCGGATAGCACTGCAACATTAGGGGAGAAGATAGGAAGGAGTGGAAATCTAATAGTCGAGAGCATCGTGGATGAGGATGAGGACGGAGATGCAGACGAAGATTGATAGACATTACACGAATGCCACTATAGATGAGTCCCATAGACTTCAGCGATTTTGCTTTTGACTCATAAAACCAAGCCCTGGGCTGATCTCGGCACCTGCCTGATATTAATACACATCAACTATCGCCTTTTCTATTGTCATGTCATGCCACAGGCACCAAGACAATGCATATCAGTCTAGTACACAATACAACGTGCTGCATTTATTCTACAGTCTTTTTTGGACAGCATGTCACCCCATAATCGTGCGTGGTTGTCCGAGTAAGGCAAGTCATACGAATGCGACTCAAAAACGGGTTGACGCCGAATGATCCATCTCTTTTGGGCTTTTTTGAAAAGGCTGTATTGAATATGAGCGAGTGCACGATCAAGACTAAGAAACATATTTGGGCGCCTTTACCTTTGTAGTGACCGCACAACCTGTTTGTATGGCTACAAGTCTGTAATGTCCCATTTCGCCATCGTTTTTCAACCTGACGATTCAGGTCACCCATGGAATGACCTGATAGCGTCATAGAAGCAGTAGTTGGTGATTCCTTCTTCCAGGGTACCTTTGAATTTTGCAATCATATCTTTTTTTACATTCATCTCTGGCCCGCCCTGATTAACCCTGAGGCTTGAATTTCTGGTGAATGGCGCGAATCTGCTCTTCCACATTTGTACTCTGCATTTGTGCTGTATGCGGCTGACTGCGATTATCCGGGTTTCCATCGTAACTGTTGAGAGCAGCCCGCTTCCGTCGCGCTTGCTCTTCTTCCGTAATCGGCTGGCCTGTCACGCCATCAAAGAGATCACTGCGCTGACTGGCAAATCTCTTGAGGTTGTTGGCTGCATCTGCCTGCACCAAGTTGGACGTGGCATATCTGGACTCATGCCTGGCTCTCTGCTCTTTCCAGCGAGGATCCAGCATCTCGATACGCATGTGGTCCTCCAGCTCGTTGAGCGGTATTTGCTGATTACAGTTCGGGCAGAGCGCCAATTGCGTGTTCTGCTTGCTCGCAGCGCGTGCCGCGGCGCGAGGCACGTAGTTCTCTCTAATCTTCAGGGGCGCGGCACCTCCCTTGGCATCAGCCTGTGCTTGATGTAGACGAGCGCGAGCTTCTTCTCTTTCTCTTATCCTTGCAGATTCTTCATCCTCGTAACCATTTGCTCTGGGTGGTGGTGCCATTTGGTACGCAGGCTGTGAAGCGGGCGTTTGCTGAGGATATGACTGGACCCCTGGCACGGGCTGGGCAGGATATGCAGCTGGATGATGGGGGATGTTGTAGCTTGGCTGAGCCGGGACAGCAGTTGCATTATATGTGCTGTCCTCTTCCGAAGGAAAGCCTTCCTCGATGCGAAAGTTGGCACCTACGGACACCTTGGCTTTTTGTTCGAGTGAGGCGTACTGGAGATCATTCAGCGAGGTCGGTGGAGGCAGGTTGGCTTGGTCATCAGCATCAGTGAAGACGACGGTCTCGACAACGACAAAATCATGCCAGTCGATTTGCGCGTATTGCTGTCGTTCCTGCTCGGCATCTTCTTCCTTCTTGTGTTTCTCATCTTCTTGATGCTTGAGCCACTCTGCTCGTTGCCGTGCCCGCGTCAGCACGTGGAATTTGTCGTCAACATTGCGTTGCAGCTCGGCAACTCGTTCTTGTTGTTGTCGCCCCCCTTCTCCGTCAATACCGCTGGCGCGCAGCAGCATGGAGTACTGGTCTATCAGATGCTGGAAGAAGTTGTGGAGACTGTGATTGGGCCGCAAGAAATCGAATTGGTAGTTTCCTGTTTCTCGCTGAGAAAGTGCCGTCATGAATTGTCGTCCATTCTTGGCGACGAACAGGGCCGTCAACCTGACGACTTCGAGGTCCTGAGCACTAATATTGGGCATACGAGCCGAGAACTTGAAGTCCGGAGGTTGGGGGGGCCCAGCAGGCTTTTCTTCGACAGCAGCAGCAGCTTCGCCTGCCCGCCCCGCGGAGACGACATTGCCGCGACCTTCCTTGATCTCGCTCAATCGCCATAGATAATAAGGGTTGTAGGGATCGGCAGGGTTCAAGAAGCTGAATTTGGGGTTGTTCTTCTCCTTCTCGCGGATACGGTCCTCGAATACAATGCCATTTCTGGCGACGAAACCGGCAGTCTTCTCAAGGATAGCTGAAAGGTTCAATTAGCGACGCGCGACAGCTACGAGGATGGGACAAGATTGTACATACTTCGGAATTCCTTGGGCGGCAGCACAACGCCCTGGGGTGGTTTGATATCTTCGAGAACGGCAGCTGCATCACCATTAGTCGCGGCGGCCATCTTGATGTTGATATTGCCAACCCTCCTTCAAGTGGTAATGTGACCGACAAGCAACAGCAATGAAAACGCAAGATGCCTTTTTTGGGATCGCGACAGACGTTGGACGAAAACGGAGTAAATGGACTGTGCTCAGCTTCTCACCTAGCCTAGGTACTTAATGTACGTAGTGTAAAGCTGGCTGGGTTCCAACTCTGGAGCTTTGGTAAATTTTCCCGTGCAAGACGCGATTCGTTGGTAGGTCCAGTAGGTAGGTACCAGGCTTTGGCGGCCTATCGATAATCCGCTAGTGTAGGGGCATGGAATGCCCAGGTAATAAAGGTATAGGTTGTAGGAGCCGGAAGTAATGTATTATTACCTTATAATGTAGCCCTGACGGTAATGCTCAGACATGGACATTTGGGAGGTCATGAACTACCTATCTGGACAAATTCCACTGCACTTCTTCTTGGACCATCTAAATGGTACTGTTTCGCGTTTTATCTGCTCAATATCCTGGATTTTGAAGCAAATCTGAATATAGGCAACAATTGCAGGCAACAAAGACAATTAACTGCTTGCAGCATTCCTCAGGGCAATGGCTGGTTCAGGCTACATATGTATCTAGTATACATCGTGTGAAGTGGAGTGTCCGAAATAACGGGCGAGCTCGCTACCTAGTTGGACGCAGGTAAGAAGCAAAATTGATAGCTAGGTACCAATGTGCTGTATGTGTTTGGCGATAGGCCTGATACTATAAGGTCTCATACCCATTTGTGCATTTTGATCAGAGGCTGAGACATATATGCATTATCTCAAAGCTTGACTTGTTGACACGTAATATGAAAGTGGTGCACAAGAAAGATCCGGTAGTCGAGCAATTACAAGACTTGAGAAACGCTTGCCAGTCTTTTTTCAGCTTATATGAATTGAATTAAATGGTAGCGGCCCCAGCACAACCCGCCCTACGCTAGAATGACCTGGGTTGGTAAGGTAGGTAGCTTGCCCATTAGGGATGTGTACGAAGAACCCCAACCAAGCTCCAACGCGGTTCAGGGTCCTCTCTTTATCAGAGCTGATACCTATCCGCCTATTTCAAGCTTGAGCTCTTTGCACGTACTCGATGCTTGTATCTTGTCAGAGAGTAAGTGAATAGCTAGACATGAATCTCTGCACAAGTGTGCAAAAAATGCAGCGATCATAATAGAAATGCCTAGGTCAATTGAGTCTGAATTGCTGTCTGTCTTCGTGTAAGATGAAACTCCCGTATTGCACAAGATAATTTTATGGCTTCGGGAGACCAGACGAATCAATTTTTAGAATTCCATCTGACGCCAGTCCCAGTCTGGACGCGTTGTGGCAGCTGGGCCTGGCGAAAGCTGGCTGGTCCCCTTCTGTAGTTTGAACACACCCCTGTTTCTTTTTTGGAAAGCGCCCGCAATTTTCGGGTCTCTCCCACTGAGGATGAGGCCACATGTTGAAAGCTTACACCTACAGACGACGCTAGCTCCAAAGGCTGGATGCGAACATAGTCGCGGCCCCTGAACAGCTATCAACCACCTATTCTCTTCCCACCTCCCTATCGCCAAACCGCGAACACCCCTCGAAGGACTCTTTTTCTGTCCTGTTCCCTCGAAGCAAAAATTATCCTTCTTCTTCTGCACCGGGGTTCTTCTCTCAAATGATTTCCTTGTAATAATCCAATCTTCTTCTCGACCTTCTTTTGCCTCTTTGCCCTTTTTCTTCTCCCCCACCACCACTCGCGATCCGGGGTAGGTAGCACACACACTGCTCCTGTCTAGCTTGTGGCCCTACAGCGAATTCGAGCTCGGAAGCAGGAGAAGAGGCCACCAGTCAAACTTGGTTTCCCATTCTTACGCCTCTTGTTTTCATCTACCGCTCAAGCTCGTTTTGCCTCCAATACATCCATCATGGCGAAAGCCGCCGCCGCAGCGAAGCCCAAGAGCGCTTCGTTGACCAACAGCAAGCCTGTGGTCAAGAAGAACGACGATTACGCCTCTGATGGCGTTGCCGACAATGATGTCTTCCTCCTACCTTTCTCCGACTACCAGGTCATGTTTCTTGTGACCGTTGTCGGTGCCATTGTGCGACTTTTTCGCATCTACCAGCCTACCAGCGTCGTCTTTGACGAGGTCCAGTAAGTGATTCTCTGTTGCAGATTGTCGAGCATAGCCGCGCACGTTTTCATTCGGATTGCTGACTCTGCTTTTCGCACAACAGCTTCGGTGGCTTCGCTTCCAAGTACATCAAGGGCCGTTTCTTCATGGACGTTCACCCCCCGCTCGCCAAGATGCTCATTGCTCTTGTTGGCTGGCTCGCCGGTTTCGATGGAGATTTCGATTTCAAGGATATTGGCAAGGACTACCTAGAGCCAAAGGTTCCCTACGTCGCCATGAGACTGTTCCCTGCTGTTTGCGGTATTCTGTTGGTGCCAACCATGTTCTTGACTCTCAAGTCTGTGGGCTGCCGTACCGCAACTGCCGCCCTTGGTGCCTCTCTGATCATCTTCGAGAATGGCCTGCTTACCCAGGCTCGCCTGATTCTCCTCGACTCGCCTCTTGTCCTTGCCACCGCATTCACTGCCCTGGCTTTCAACTCCTTTACCAATCAACATGAACAGGGTCCTACAAAGGCATTTCAGCCTGCTTGGTGGTTCTGGCTGCTCATGACTGGCCTGGGCTTGGGTATTACCTTCAGCATCAAGTGGGTTGGTCTTTTCACCATTGCCTGGGTTGGATCTTTGACCTTGGTTCAACTCTGGGTTCTTCTCGGTGACACCAAGACAGTGACTATGCGCATCCTGGCAAAGCACTTTTTGGCTCGTGTTTTCTCCCTAATCATCATTCCCGCAACCTTCTACATGGCCATGTTTGGTATTCACTTCTTGTGCCTTACCAACCCTGGCGAAGGTGATGGGTTCATGAGCTCCGAGTTCCAAGCTACTCTCAACAACAAGGGTATGCAGGATGTTCCCGTCGATGTGGCTTTTGGCAGCAGACTCTCCATCAGACATGTCAACACGCAGGGTGGATACCTCCACTCTCACCCGCTCATGTACCCAGGCGGCAGTCAGCAACAGCAGATTACCCTGTACCCTCACAAGGATGACAACAATATCTGGCTCATCGAGAATCAAACTCAGCCGCTCGATATCAACGGCGAGCCTATCAATGGCACAGGCGCTTGGGACAATGTCAAGAACATGACTGAGAACTACGTCCGTGACGGCGACGTCATTCGCTTGTACCACATTTCCACTCACAGACGCCTTCACTCGCACGATGTGCGCCCGCCTGTGAGCGAAGCTGAGTGGCAGAACGAGGTTTCAGCATACGGTTACGAAGGATTCCCTGGCGATGCCAACGATCTCTTCCGTGTCGAGATTGTCAAGAAGCAGTCTGTTGGCGATCTCGCCAAGGAGCGCGTTCGAACCATCCAGACAAAGTTCCGACTGGTTCATATCATGACTGGCTGTGTTCTCTTCTCGCACAAGGTCAAGTTGCCTGACTGGGCCTCTGAGCAGCAGGAAGTCACCTGCGCAAAAGGCGGTACTCTACCCAACAGTCTCTGGTATGTCGAGTATAACGAGCACCCCTCGCTCGGGCCCGATGCTGAGAAGGCAAACTACGTCCGTCCTGGCTTCCTCGGCAAGTTCTGGGAATTGCAAAAGGTCATGTGGCGAACCAACGCTGGCTTGGTCGAGTCTCACGCCTGGGACTCGCGTCCCGAGTCTTGGCCCATCCTGCGCCGTGGTATCAACTTCTGGGGCAAGAACAATCGTCAGATCTATCTGATTGGTAACCCCGTGGTCTGGTACACGTCTACGGCTGCCATCATTACCTACGTGCTCTTCAAGGGCATCGCCATTCTCCGCTGGCAGCGAAGCTGCAGAGATTACGATGACGCCACGTTCAAGCGTTTCGACTACGAGATCGGTACTTCGGTCCTTGGTTGGGCTCTGCACTACTTCCCCTTCTACCTCATGCAGCGTCAGCTTTTTTTGCACCACTATTTCCCGGCACTCTACTTTGCGGTCTTGGCTTTCTGCCAGCTCTATGACTTTGTCACTGCTCGATTCCCCCTTCCTGGAATCCGAAGCAACCCGATTGTCAACAAGACGGGCGCTGTTGCCATCCTGGCCGTGACTGCTGTGGCTTTTTCACTTCTGTCGCCCTTGGCTTATGGTAATGCCTGGACGAAGAGCGAGTGTACCAGGGTCAAGTTGTACGACACTTGGGATTGGGACTGCAATACCTTCCTTGACAGTGTAAGTGTCCCTTCTCATGGCATGCCGTCTCGAGGGAGAGGATGAAGCAGTGGCTTCTGTCCAGTCTGCACAACAACTCTTGATTTCAGCACATTAGTTTCGCATTGTACAAGTAGATACGGACTAACATATCACGCTTATCTAGTATGAGGCCTACGACAAGATCACTGCCAGTGCCGTTAAGGCTGCTCAGACTTCTCAGCCGGCCGCTGTCAACCAGGAAGTTCCTCCAGCTCAACAAGCACAACAGCCCATCCAGGATGCCCCAAACGGGGGGGAGGGCGCCGCGGGAATCTCCGGGGCGCCCCAGTTCGAGCCCCAGGGCCAGAAGGTCATCGCCAGGGAGGAACACGTAGAGTACAGAGACGCGGAGGGCAACTTGCTCAACGAAGAGCAGATCGCCGAGCTTTCCGGGAAAGTAGAGTTCAAAACCAGATACGAAACAAGGACTCGCGTCGTCGACAGCGAAGGGAACGAGATTCCCAACGCCGAGGTGCCGGTAGCCCCGCCTCACCCTGATGTTGAAGGACCTGACAGCAGCACCAAGAAGTCTCCAGAGGCACCTGTGGAGGATGCTGAGGCCCAGCCGGTGATTCAGTCCAAGGACGGTGAAAAGGAGAAGGAAGCCGAGAAGCCCAAGCCCGCAAGCGAGGGCAACGATGCTACAGCCCAGTAAAGCCGACGAGCATCTCTTTAGGCCATAGGCTTTTGTGATCTGCCATCCTTTACTTGACAGCAAGCGCGGCATCCGTGTATAACAACCATCTCTACATTAAAACCGTAATGAGGATCTTGGGGAAAAGGCAAGGGCAAAAGCCGGATAAAAAAGAACTAGACGGATTGGCAACGGATATATGCCTTTCGTAGTTCAACGTAGCTAAACGCTATTTTCCTTGATCTAAGAAAATATTCAATTCTGACTAGCTGTTGGCCTCTTTCCAATGTGAAACAATTTGTGTCTCGAGGGAAGTTGCTCCTAATATCAATCTGCATTGGAAGCTTCCAATAGCAGAAGTTCACTTCCAAACATCGTGGCCTAGTTTTGGAGATTGATGAAACGACAAGTAATGATGCGAATGGAGCCATGAAACAGAGCAAAGGCCGCGGGTCCTACCACTTGACAGCTCTCTTAAGGATGGATATGTCCAACAATTGCAGTCAGTAAAGGGTCAGGCCCAAATCTCTGCCTACCAGATGGAATGTCGGGGTATGAAAGGCCTTGCATAGTATCAAGGTTGTAATGAATAGTATGAGGGAGGATGAAATTGGCAGTCCTCTGGCACCCCCTAGGTGTGAAAGGTGAGTTCTAGCTTCTACCCACCAAGGATCTTCCCAACGGACACGGATATGTTGAACTTGCAATGAAATACTGGTAATAGAGCAGATAAGTATATATATAATCTGCGATTGCCTGAACATTTTGATAGAAACGCCGACTGACCTTCTACTTCCCATGAATGGCCAAGCTTTGTGAATATACATCCGAGAACTTGCCATGGGCATCTTTCCACGGTCTTGTAAGCATCTCGAAGAGCTTGCGACAAGAGATAACATATATGAAGGAGGTCTACAGTCAGTCATCCCAACGCGTGCTTTAACAAAGATATAATCATCTTCCGCTGGCTTCTCGTAAGACAATCAGTTTGTCTCAATGACAAATGTCCAAACGGAACAGCCTCTTCATCAGACATGCAAGATTTCCGGGTTTCGACTTGTAGAATTCGCCGTATTCATATGGAGACCATTGATGGCGTTTTATTTCGGCATGGTAAGGAAAGAAAATATCCCAAATGCTCCAATGGACGAACCGTGGAATGCCCCCCCTACTTTGACGCCAACAAGAGATGTTGTTGGTACTCTTTCGGTCACAATCAAAGCTGTCCCCCCAACCCTTTTTTTTTTCC